TTGTTCGCATCGCGTATTCCTTCCTAACATGTTTGAACCACCAGCCAAAAAGATGGACAGTATCGACGATAGCTTTGACGTTTAGCAGTCATGTGGTAAGCTGACTACCGTGAAATTTCTTCCAGTGCAGTTTTGTACGAGATAATAATGCGGTCGCGGCAGTCGCTCGCACCGCAAACTTAATACGTCCCAATTGGCGCAGCAGTGGCGACGTGTCGAGAAGAAGACCCGCAGCATTTAAGACGTCTAACATCTAGGTTGCAAACGTCGTTGTATAAGACTGAGTTCTGATGCATTCGTTTATATGAACCGGTAAAAACTTATTCCGGTACAACAGCAACGCGCGAACACAGGCATTGTAGACCCACCTTTCACCGAGAGTGAAACGTTGCGAGGACGCTACAGCTGCCTCAGATTGGTGATCAATGATCGAGCTTTGGCAAGGTAAAGAGAAATCAGCCTTCCAAAGGTGCAGTTAGCAGAAATGCAGTTATGCAGGCGGATGATGCTGCTCACTTGGTAAAGTCCGAACCTTTAAGAGTGAGCAATGGAGCAGGTGGTTGACAATCCAGAAGCAGTACAGAATTTTGAGGAGGCAAAGATCATGTAATACTTAGTTGCTTCAAACTGGCAAGCAAGGGACGAATTTTTACGGGATAATCTGAATTAAGTTATTTCGCGTAATATCGTCAACCGCTTACATACAATTAGTGGAGTGGATGGGTTGCATACAGAGACAATCAAGGTCTAATGCCATCAGTGGATCGGCCGACATTCCGCTTAGAGGAATGTGGCCTACAGCGTCACCAAAGCAAGGCGAGACTGGCGACGAACTCGGTCTTTTTACAAAAAGTGGGTTTCAGCTGCTTAATTGCCAAGGTCTTAGTAAACTGAAGCAGGCGGACAGGCTCTGTCGGTTAACCATACAAAATTGTTTACATGGGTTCTCACATTTGGGGCAGTCAAGTGTGCGTCGGGTGTTCAAATTGGAGGGCAGTTTTGGGCCACTAGCGCCCAAACAAACCTCCTCACACGGCATGGGCAGCCAGAGAGCATCATTTATCCTCTCGACCCCGTTGACAATACAACCTCATCTTCTTTTTACGCCCTCTCAACTTCTTCCTCGTCTAATGAGCAAGAGAATGCCGCTGACCTCGCAACTGCTACCATAGATACATGTAACTATTCCCTCAGACCAAGGGTCTCATTTCACATTGGTTCTTCTAACGTCCACACTTTGGGTCAGATAGGTCAACAGGCATCACTGACTCTTACCCTTGGCATTGATGTGTGCTGTGTCAGCTAAACACGCAGACGGCATAATGGCGTCATGACGAATCTCCGACTCCCTGATTCCGAATCTGTCGACAATGACTACACTCATCATCATCATCACCATTAATACACCTCAGCTAATGTGCCGCAATACAAAAAGAAAAGAAACTAAACACTACAAAAAATTTCAAAGACAAGTAATATGATGTAAAATATTATATTATGCATTTCGTATGAGATCGATATTAGAGGGGGAATCTAAAGGAGAGGGTGATGGACAAAGAAACACACAACACAAACGCCATTGGGGTCAGCTCTTTGCCATATCAACAAGTATGCCCAACCAAATGTGTCCATCGTCCTTAGAACCCCAGTCAGGCAGTCGGGATGCACCAACCGACGCCAGTTTCCAAGTGAGGATTTTCATTTCTCTCGACCAAGTCATCGCTTGGCCTCCTCTCCTCCTCTTCCAACCGAAACCCTGGTGCGCAGACAATGCACGTCGCAGGAGTCGGTGTGCTGGCATGCGCACCACGTGCCCTAGCCATCGGAGCCTGGTGCATGTTTGAATGGTGCTGGGGACTGCACTCTTCGCGTCTTTGGCGAAACTGAATCAGTGGCTCAAGGCATTTACAACGACGCTATCGCTTCAGCAAACAAGCTGAAGGCAATCAACTCGATTTGATACCAGTGAACAGGCGCATGTGTGCTGTTCGACTTCGGACCTCTATTGGGGTTAATAAGTATCCTCGGAAGACATTGTATCTTTTCATCGCCTCCGTTTATGACACTACTGAATGCAAGTTGGAGGTTATCTAAGCCCATTTCTATCTTTAGCTCTCATCGCCTCTTGGTATGGCAAAAAATATCGATATCGAGATTGTTTCTGGTGGCCTGAAAGTACAGGTGGTTCGAACTTCAAACTATAAACAACACTTATGAGGTCGCTTCGGAGCCAATGCACACTAGACTGATAATGGCGATCGTTTCCTGCAACTGTGCACCGACTACTATATATATATATATATATATATATATATATATATATATATATATATATATATATATATATTAGCAGTACCGCTTTCCAGCACAAACGTTCACACCGCGTCATCTGGCGCCCATCCAATAATTCAGTGACTTTTTATTAAGGTGGTCGGTCACCCGTTCGTTCCAGGTTTTTGCGTTCGTGTTCGAGTGCCGTGTAATGAAATGTTCAGGATATCCATTTTTGCGCGTTGGAGCGCATATTTGATTGTTCCTACAGAGCAGATCTGACAAGGCTTCGCAAGAGTGACACGAACCAGAGCTCGATTGTAATCTAGAGAACGGAGACTGTTGAAATTAAGGTACTTTATGTCCACACACAGATCGAATGAGTGTACCATTTGGGTTTCACTTTAAGTTAACCTCCAAAAAAATGGAAGGCATCAGAAGATTCGTTTTCAATTGTGAATTCGATCGCGGAGTAGTGGTTGTAGGTGTTCTGCTTACTCAGCAGTGTCTACAACGACGAGTGTCTTCTATATAGTGACCATGAGAAAGCACATTTTTATGTGAGGATGTAGTTCAGTGTTTTTCAAATGGCTCATGAAGATATCAGCCACTGTATGATCAAGTGGACTGGCTATTGCTACCCAATCAGTCTGTCGATACAGGGTCTCCTTGAATCTAAACTGGACGTCCTTCGTGTGACCTAATCATTCCAAGAACCGAATGGAAACGGCTGACGAGAACATGTGAACTAGCTGAATTCGGATTATCCTGCCGAAATCTTGTTGCTTCTTGTCATTTTGAAGGTTGTGTGGGAAATATCTCGTATGATATTTCTAAAGAAACGTCTTCTACCGCACATATTTCGTTCCCTGAATAATCGAGTGCAATTAGCTGCTACAATTGGTGAACGGTTTAAAATGTCCTGTATAATCTGGCGGTCGTTACCGAATAAAGCAATATCATTTGCACACTTATTCTTGTGCATAGTGTTCTCTATGTTCATTGTGCAACCTTATTAAGTGTTGACTTTTTATGAAGTATTTACCTTTGTTACTCTACCTGCGCGCATTCAATCGGACTCCAGCCCGCAACTTGACTGTTACCAGCCTGTGGTTGAGACTACTGAGCTACGGAGGACGACAACGACCGTCGTGAATAGGTTACTAAAAGTGACATAGCACAGTTCACTAGCTATTAATTTGCACCTTACTACCATGCAGAGGACAGGGTAGCCACTTCGCCAAGCGATGAACTTACCAAACGTAAACAGCCAATTCACTCATGGCGTTATAAGCAGTTTGGTCTGCGTACCGATTACAAGGAAGTGATCTCAGCCACAAACTGGCAGCAGTCAAGTGACGGGTTCGAGTCCCGCAGGAGTCAGATGGATTACGTACTGCTGACGAGTTTCGAAAGGCTGAAACGGCCGTGCAGTTCTATGCCGGGCGTGATAGTTACCTGACTGAGTCTAGATGTGATAAATTTCTACCTATGCCATTCAATTCCTGCTCCTACTCCTTTGTACTCCAACTATGTTGCTGTATAATGGGCCATCTGCTTGTGAAATCGAAAGTGGGATGCACAAACCACACTGGAGCCTAGGACAGACTATAGAAAGAAATACCCACTGTAAATTGGAGATCTCCGATTAGCAAGTCCCAATCGCTATCCGGCTCTGAGATTCGAGGGAAGCGGCTGAGATAAGGAGGTAATGTAGGTGACAGGAGGCGTTCGCAAATACAACCATAAGCCTACCGTGTATTTCAGATATATTTACAAGGGATCAACAGCTCAACGGAACCCCATACCGGTGCTTCGCAGCCACGTAGCCCCAACACTCGACGTCATCTGAACCCATACAGATTTGAACTGTTGAATGGCGGATTGCCAACTAGACACCTGTACCAGTTCAGACACAGATGTGGTGGTAGCGGAAGCATACACGGTGTCAGCAGTATCAGAAGTACGCCAGTAGGCCATAATGCAACTTCGTTGCCACGCAATCGCGCATGGACTAGGGATACTGTGGGGGGTCGTCTGGTCCCCTACGCAGGTTCGAACCGGTGATGTCGGGGTTGCAAGGCAGATACATTGACATTTTAATCGTCGGCCGGCCGGAAGCATACATAGGACGAGTGGAATTTAAATACAAGTGTCACAATGGCGAACGCATTAAAAACAGTCGGTAAGTTGCGAGCATGAAGATTTTTCCATCACTGCGTAGTATAATGCAAGGAACTTGATAGCGGATGCGTTCGATCTACCCAGTTAGCACTCAATACACTAAATGAGTAAAGAATGCTGGGTTATGAGAAAATAATCACCCCAATGTGTGAAAGTGGAACAGGACAGGTCATTGGCATCTCAGTGCTGCAGAAAGAGAAGTCGGATATGAAAGACTTGGGCCCGAACCCAGGAAAAGAACCTGGTAGGGAAGTGTGATGATAACGCGTACAGGCGCGATAACTAGTTGTAGCAGAACATCGTCTATAATGCAGAAACAGCATCCCGGTAAAAGATCGCTCCCACTTATAGGGCCGTGCATCGTCTGTCGGTAAATATACAAATTTAGTTATTTATTTACCTATTTATTGAGTTGACCCATTTGAAACCGTATTTGTATCGCATCAGTTCACGGTATTCACGCAAAGGAGCTCAAGATGTGATTCGTCCAGTGAGTGCATAACTGCTGGGATAAAGGAAAAATGGGTTCAACAAATCGGACTCACCGAAATATCGCGCGCAAACAACAGTTTCACCAAGGACGAATCAGGAGTGAGTTTTTCCCGAGTAGGTGCGCATGCGTAGGTCATTGCCTGACTGAGTGCATGGAAAGAACGTTCAAAAGCGGTGTGCCGAGGAAGGGGTATGTCGAATATGTAGTCGAGATTGGTGATGATTTGATTCCAAAAGCGCATCTGCAAGCTATCGCACGATGAAAGGAAGGTGGAGAGGGAAGTTAGGGTGTGCAAATAAGCACGCAGAGGAATCGAAAAGCGCTGTGCCCATGAACGTTATTGAGTATACAGACAAAGGGGAAAGATGGAAGTTCCACAGTCAGCTTAGAAAACCGAGCAGATTTTTTCGATGAATGAGAAGTGGAATATTGTTGTTGCCAAGCATACACATTTATGTGTTTAATTAAAGACAAGCGCTGTGAAAACAGGAGAACGGCGTTTTAACTTGTCCATTCCGAGTGAAAAGAATGGGAGTTATAAATTCGAGAAACGAAATGCTCCAAACTGCCCTCAGTTCAGTTACAAGCCCATAATAGAGATAGAATCGTCAGGCAGTGCGTTCAGCACACGGTACGGATCGAAAATGTTTGGTTCTCACATCATAGGGCTTCGTTGAGTGCTGTAGGTGTGCACGTGTGGGCAACGCACGGTCACGCCACATAACCGTGTAACTTATCTACTTCGGAGCACCCACGCTCGCGAGGGCACGGATCTGACAATAGCCTAACAGCTAAGTAGTTTTGTTATGACAATAATGTGGGACAGTCGAAAGGGTAAACGGTGAGCCACACTATCGAGCGCCTATGATCATGGAAGTGTGCAAGTTAGCGGAGCGAGTCACATTATGACTGACGCTTTGAGTCCCTCCAGCAACGTATATGAGCACTGAGCCACCAGAAGCTAATAGCCAGCGCAATACTACATATAACGGTCATTTAAGGTAATCTGATACTAAACCCATAGGATTAAGGCTTTTATCTGTCCCTTGTGAAATGCCCATGTAAGGATGTATGGTTTAATGAAATCGTAAGTAAATTGAAGCTGTTCATCTCTGGGGGAAACGATAATTGTGCATTCTGGGATTAGCGCCTAGCTCCCCATACACACTTCGTCAGCAGTTACCGGGAGAGCTATTAATGCACACAATGATGATGATAAGATGTAGGCACAGGTACGTGGCTGTAGCTAATGATTAGGCACGGAACGTTTTGCAGGGGATTCGGCGCGGGCAGTTCCCGGTCATACAGCCCCCACACATTCGCTAAAGCGTTGGACAGCCGTTTCGTCCAATTTGAACTTGTCAGAAACGCTCATTCTCCAGACTCCACCTGGAGCCGAACCCATGACCTGTGTGCTTTGAAGTAGCGGGCTAAGACAATAAGTCGTGGATCACAGGAACGAATAGTTAAGACTGCATTTTAACTGCGCTTTAATGGGTCTTATTCTCCATTGTTAAGCAATTTATGAATGTACGGAGAACATGGTTGACCGCAGGGCAACGATTTTCCTTGCAAGCTGCCGTCACGCAAGATGGTTTGTGGGCGGCTGGAGCAACTATAGTAAAAAAACCCGAGGTTGACAATCATCGTATCTGGATCACCACTCTAAGTTGACCAGTTTTTATCATTACTTGAATGTTCACCATGGAAACCGCATGGATCCAGCTCCCTGAGTGGTCAAGTTACGGAGGTTTCACTTTAATAATTGTTGAAGGCAGTGAACGGCATCCGAAATAAACACTGTGAAATGTCTCCGGACCAACGCACTCGTGGCGATTTCTTGAGACGCCATGGCAACTGATGCATATAAAACTACTTTGATAGTCTGTGGAAAGAAGCATCTACTCTAGATCGATTTGTGGATTGATTTCTAACTCGTTTCAAAAGATATTTCGGAGGCAAAGGCCGCAAAGGGGGTGCAGATTTAGTCATCCTCGGCATCCCAAAGACCGTTTGCACCGGTAACAATACACCATTTAGCGGCTGGGAAATTTAAGTGTTCTCGAAGAACGACGGGAATAATTTCCTTGCATTGACCTCACAAAAATCCCGTAGCGGAAGAAGTAGCAGATCAGGTGGTACAGAATGCCGAAGAAGTGCATTATAGTCATACCTCTGAAACTATGTGAAGTAACCAGATGGTCTCTTGATGAACTGGAAGCTCGGGTTGATCGTTCCTGGGTTCACTTGTTCGCAGAGCTTCGTGACTGGTATACAAACGTCATATCACCAGACGAGTTGACTAACTCAGTGCGCTGCTGGGTCAAATGAAATCCGTTGAGGTCAATTCAAAAGTCACTAACTGATCGATCCACAATAGACGACCGGGGTGGATATGCACGCGGGCACGAATCCGCAGCCAACATGGAACAGTACGAGTCAGATAATACAAGCATATGTCTGGAGTAGGTGATCGGTACCATCGCAGTCAGGCATGGGTAGGCACATTTAGAAAAAATCCGAAAGTTCAGCATATAGGCTGACCGAAAGAATGCAATCGTCTTCTTTCATCCACTATGCCATAAAACGACGCTGGTGTATTATTTTCAAAAATATCAAAAACGCAAATCGCGATTCTCAAAGCCAATACCGAATGGTATTCGAAGCCCCAAGGAATTAGCAAAGAATCCGGAAGTTTCAGGCTGGATAAATTACGTGACATTTTGAGCGACTGTAGCGAAGTTCCCATCGGTGTGATAGAAAAAAGAGTACATCTAAACGGATGAGATTGGGCCCGTCAATTTTAAATATCCACGTGCTCATCGAACGCGCATTAGGGAACGCTTCAATGTCACTTATATATATATATATATATATATATATATATATATATATATATATATTGTATGTTTCAAAAGAACGGTTTATTTTTACTCAGTTGCTCGTTGAACAAGGTGCACGCCTTATGGTGACACGAGAGCGCACTAAATAGCCAACTGTTCAATCGTAGATGTTGGTATCTCAGAATTTCGCTCACCCGTCACATGGGTATGACTGGCTGCAGAAATGACAGAATGCCATGCCAGTGGGCCTACATCCTCCGTACTGGTGTCCTGACGCTGGGTGGACAAACAGACCAACACCGACACGAGTTGCCACACCGATTTTGAATGCCAGACCAGCATACCAGCATCGTCCATCGTCACAACAATGGATGGTCAGACAGAACAACCCGTACGACATGAAAGAGAAATGCATTCGCCGCAGTAATTGGTCCTGGCACTACGGATGGATACCCGCTGTTAGCCGATTTAATAAGGTAGCCACAGCGATCCCTATCTGTTCGCTATGTGTGTCGCTGGAATTAATAACAAGGACAGCCTCAAGAAAGCTACGGCGCACCGCGCTGTCTGTGTGAACGAGAAGGCCGCGTTGGTCACATGCAGACTAACATCCAAAGGCTACCGACCTTGCCGTACGAAGTGCGAAATGGCGGTGGTAGCGGTCGCGGTACTGGGTTACACGTTGAGTATGACTCAAACTGTCGAAACTGCTAAGCGACACATGGTGGCCAAACATAGTTGGAGTACTGATGTGCTGGTTAGTATGTCTGTCCGCACTGGTTACGTCTTAAGCTTACCGCTGAATAAGCCACCACCAGGTAGCCGCTAGCGATCACTAAGTATAGACCGCTTCATGTGCTGGTTAGTATGTCTGTCCGCACTGGTTACGTCTTAAGCTTTGGATAATGTGGTAGCTAGCATCTCCTCCTTTGACAGACAGCACAATTTACCTATTGGTCGGTTTCAGGTTGGAGACCAATCATCGAGGTTTACTCAGATGGGCATCAAGGCAGACCAGAAGGTGATGCGCGACCACTTTCATTGGAGTGTCTGTCGCTTATGCTGGTGGCTTCTAACCAAAGTCCCATTGGTTTATGTCCCATGACCAATGAGAGTGTCAAGGACGCCAAATCAGCGTTCCTGGCCTCGCTAACTTGAAAGTACCGCACGCTATTTCGAAAATGAACCACGCTAAAAGCTTGGTACAATACGCTAATATGTGTGTAAAAAGTTATAGTTAAGCAGGTATCGTTTGAACACCAAGTGAGAGGATGTAGTGATGACGTCAAAAGCATGGGGAAGCAATTTCGTTTCTTCTTTTGCTGATTTTTGGTGCTCGGCTAATATATGGACTCATGAATTTGGACAAATTTGATATTGCAGCGTTATACCGTCGGCTCAGCTATGGACGGGTATACATTCGGTAATAAACTGTAGTTGACTGTGACATTTGAACCCATGATGATAGTGTGAAGCGCACAAATTGAATGTCGGGCGACTTTATACGACCCTGCTTTTGCAGTGTTTATCGTTGGTCTAATGTTTATAGTGATGAGATCGCACGTAATAACGGCACAGTAAGTTCCAAAAAGTACTTTGGTTATTCAGCTAAACTGGAATGCCTGTTTGAGGACATGATCTTCTTATTCTCAAACCCTTCACTCACTTCCCTTCAGAAATTTACACATGTTTGTTTCGAACACCTGCGTTATGTTAAACACTTGGCAGGTTCACTTCGCACCATTGGAAGGTGATTGACTCCACAAGGTCAAATATTTCAGCTTTGACAGACCATCGATTAGCAAAAAGTGATGCTACACTGCTTTCGCACGCCGCCGCACGTCTTCCAGTTTGCCCTTTTTACTTACTACTACAAACATGTTCGTTAGTTGATTAGTGTCTTTAGCTTGACTTATAGAACCAAGATAACAGATTCTTTTTACCGTATTTCCTCTGTCCAGACCCGGCGTATAGTATAGGTTCCCTAGTCTACAGGTTAAGTTTACAGTCTGTTGCGAGAATTTCGTCTAGGCTTCGTATAGTCCCTACATGCATCATCCAAAAGCTTACGTTTTCTGATTTTCATGTCCGATCCATAATGCTCTAAACCACCATCGTGCGCACACATAGAAGCACCCTCAACTCACTTAAACGTCGGTTACTGGGAATAAATTACTGACAGGCTTCAACAGTAAAGTAATGGTTTTTACCGGTGCAATGAGGATTCACGGTGCTATCGTGTCTAGTGCCACGCATGGTCCCATATACATTTATTGAGCAACATTGGCAATCTATACACGAGCACACTCAGAGAGCAACAACAGGACAAACGGACACTCATAGGGGACTAAGCGACCCCCCGACTCTTTTATCATACCCAACATATTTGACAGCCGTTTAAGCACGCTGGCAGGAAGTTCGTCGACTTGATTTTGACCACAGAAAGCTTGTACATTAAACACAATAACAAGCTGGTATGGTTATGAAGACGTTAAGGCCATTAAACAGCCACGATGCTGGAAGCCTCAAACGCCCCAGAAAATTGAGCAAGCTAAATGAGGAAGGGAAAAAAACAAGGGTTAGGCTTCCCAACAAACATTTGATGGTGACTCGGATGGAAACTGTAAACACTTATAACATGAAACCAGATTTCCAGTCAACTAACCAATTCGACTTCCATGCGTGGACGGTTTTGGGATCCTGTACACCCAAACGCAGAGCCTGGTTATCCAAGAAGTCAAACAGATACTTGATGGGCGACGGTAGACTTTGCGATTGCGTCACGCAGCTGAATATCAGTTCAAACAATTTATCCATGTAATTCGCGACTGAAAGCTGAGGGATAAAGACTCTCCGTAAAACAAGAGATGGCAAGTAGGTTCAAGAGCAGATTTTAGGAGAGGTAAAATATTGAAGCCAAACAAAGAGTGAAGCATTGGATAGCAAGGATAGTGGAGTTTTGGAGGTCCGACGAAGACGAGGAATGCGATTCATGGTGACGTAAAATGTCATCATGGCTCACTCAACTTCCTAACTACCTTGTAAGTAACGGAGGAAGAAACATAAAAAATTGACAGTGTTTTTATCACAATGATGGGATCATCATCAGAGTCCTGTATGCACCACTATGCAATTTTCGTCTAACCAGTTACGAGCAGCGGCGTACAGCTTCTCGCTGGTTAGCTGAACATGTTTAACAACAGGATGTCGAACGAGTCAGTAAGCTCCTGGACTGCGGTTGAGGACTAGCACGTTAGAAATACATTTACTTGTATTACTGTCGATCTGCGGTCGAAAGGACAAGGCGTCTGCGTTGCAACCCGGAGGTGGCGGATTCGAGCCAGCGTATGGGCCAGGCGACCCTCCCGGTATCCTTATCCCGCACGCGACTGGTGATGGTTGTGTGGCAGTGAAGCGCCGGTACGAGGTACTGCTGATGCTTTGTTTACGTAGTAAATGCAAGGAAATTGATCCCTTATTTTACGGACACAGCGATCAATTCTGTCATTATGCACGATGATGGTTAACTGTTGTAAGAAAAGATTTAATACTGATAAAAGCCTCGAGAAGAACACACGACACTGTAGACTCGGGTACTTGGGACCCTAGGCGGTAGAGCTAATGAAGTGCGATGCTGGCAAACTTTGCAATGGAGTTGGCGGTAGGGAATGTATGGGGACAACCTGCTCCAAGCGACAAAAGCTGTGCACATCTGAAGAGGCAAGATACCTATGAACAGCATCCATGGAGTGGTGCGTGACGTAAAGAATGTTACCACAAATAGGAATCGCGCTTACCCTTGTGACCATGAGTCGATTGAAGAAGACCTCTTTCGGCAAATCCTCTACAAGACGATCAGGTCCGACTGCCGTTCGCCTGATCCTTCGTTCACTTGATACACTTCGAATGGAGATGGGACGCTCCGCTTTACCGCGTTTTAAACTTCGTCGAGAAATGTGTGGGATGAAAGCAACTTCTCCATCGGATACACGGGATTTGTGCACAATACGCGCGGACAAAGTGGAGGGATGGAGGAGAGGATGATGGATAGAACTGCTATGGGGATCTGCCACTGCATTCGATCTGGATAGCTCGGAGCTCGGTTCATGGTTGAGGTGAGAAAAGGGCCACTTGGGAACATTTCTGCATTTTCGGTCAATTTTTGTGGGACAAATGCAAGAGCAACAATGGGCATCCGAACCACGCAATTGAGTGCATCTGGATTTAAGGCCTAAAGATGCAAGGAAAAAGGATCCTCGGGGCGAAAAGGCACGATCGGAATGGGAGCTAGGCGTGCGGCTACCACTGATGATCAACTCAAGGTGATACCACAGACTAGCATTGGGAGAACCAGTGGGACGCATACAACTGAACGGATTACCAAGACTGGAAGTGTCCAATGCCGAGTGATGGGTTGGTCCAATAGGAGAGCATATTGACTGCAGGTGGTTTGTGTCTCCACAGCTTGGACCAAACGGTTCGAGCTCGTGGGTTGTGGAATTGCTCTCAACAAGTTTGGACCGCCCGGGACAAGAGGTAGTTTCGAATATGCCGTCCTTCGAGAGCACACTTTGAGAGAATGAGGAGTTTTTGCAGCCGAGCGTAGTGGGATGCATGGAACTAGTTGAGGCTTAAAAATAAAAGTAATATAAGCGGAGAATTAGATGTTCGAAAATTTGGTACAAACAGCCATGAAGTTGAAGGCACAATACGCAAACGAGCTACATAAAGGACATAGAGGTACACGATACCCATTCACGTTCTTAAGTTGAAGATAAACATATCAAGCAGTCATCCAGGATAAAGTAGACCTCAAAGTCGTCAGCTTACACTGAAGAACTGCCAGCGAATATTTCCTGTTTCAGTAAAACTTTGGTTGAAGTGAGGCAAATACTGGGAGCGATATATCCCAAAGTCGAGACTACGCGTTGTGGCCAGACATCCTTATATGTCCGATCCCATGCATCTGGAGCTTGGTGGAGTGCAACGTCCAGTGTGCTATGGCTTTGCTTATTCTAACGAGAGCTGTCGTGGCTGCTCAGGCCATGGGGATTGAACTGATGATGCGACCTAGACTGGCAACGAAACGTCTGCAAACGAATAGCTCAGCAAAACGAACAACCCAAAATCTACATCCGTACCAAGGGTTACTGATACTCTAAACGGTTTCTGCTCTTTGCTAATGATATTAGGTAATGAGTGAATAAGGGATCGAAGAACTATGAGGTGTTTCAGCATGGGTTTGAGGATGCTTCAAACTGGACAGTGCACAACAGATAGTATTCTATATGGACAAGTACGGACGGTTGAAACTAAGGTTGTGAGAACAGACGGATTTCGTGAACACCTTCATCCTACTCCGGCGATGCTAGTGATTATTTTTCCCTTTGACCGGAGTCATGTGAACTTAATGACTTTCGACCGCCTTATAGTACCGAATTGTTCACATACTTCATGCAAAAGCTTCACATATGGACTTGAGAAACACAATTCACAAACTTCATCGCAGGGACACTACCTAGGTGTGGTCAGATGAAAACCAAAATTTCCGAAAACAACCTAGGTTAGCACCAAGATGTGGTAGCTAACACGTCGACCGCTTGTGAGGATTGCTCGGGAATTGGGACCTATGCGGCATTCCCCTTGTGGCATCCTCACGGCCAATGTACTGAGCCCTTCCCATTTGTTAGCCGCATCTGTTGGCGTGCCAGTAACCCGCTCACCCACTTATCGATTGGCCTAATTTAGAATAGTGGATCGATGCGTTGTACAACATGCTGGTTCGAAGATAGTATTGCCTTCCATGTGCCTGACGTGTTTTGCATTATGATACTTCGGCTAAGGGCAGCTGTTGAGCGTTAGTTCCGTAATTGCTAAACTGTGACCTTTGGCGACGGAGGTTAAACTTGGAAATATTTACTATGAGTCATCTCACCCCGCCTGATCCCTTTTGAAAGGACACATCGTCCAAGCCATCCTTAGCAGTTTGGAATCGTTAAAAAACGAACCTACTGTGACTACCTTGAGCTTTTCACAATTACACACCCCCACATCAAACTTAGTGAAACCCAATCTATCAAACTACTGAGACAACACCTCGGTGTAGAAGGTCAACGACATTTTGATGCGTTGCATTTGTACGAAAGCACATTCGTGACGGATTGCTATAACGCCCTGAACGGTCTTTGGGGACCACAGCAACATGTTTTTACGGCGCGGCTGTTTTTCTTAATTACGACAGGGAGAACGGGAGAGTCTTAATGAATTCATCAGTCGTATGTGACAATCCCTTCCTGACTGCCGTTACAATGAAATTCCCGCAACGAACTTCGAAGGGTCGACGATGGTGCAATGCCTTTTGGTTGGCATTAGAGACGATAAAGCTAGAGAGCGTCTGCTGGTAGAAAACGAGAAGAAACTCACTTGGGAAACAGCCTGCGCACTGGTTAGAAAAAGGGAAAGAGTTGCACAACATGTAAGTAATTATCGAGGCGATTCTCATTCGGGTGCAGTCCATGCGGCTAAATCAGGACTATCACTCACCAACAAGTATTTCTTTACCTGCCATCGATGCGGTGAGAAGCATGAAAAAGTTACTGATTGCAGACACAGTCTACTTGTCACAAGTGCAGAAAGGATGGGCATATTGCACGCGTATGTCGTTCGACCGGGGTTCAACGACCGATACCCCACCCCTCCCAGGGTACTGTTCGAACTGCGGAGAACGCTGACGATCCCATATTTCATCTAATTTCGCACACAACGACAGCGCATGCAATGGGAATACCCCCATACATTGTTGATTTAAACATTGAAGGTCAACCAGTAGGTCTGGAGATCGATACCGGGGTTTCGGTTACATTGATCAGCAACCGAACTTTACCCGACCTGGTTTTGACTCCGACTGTCTAAATTACGATCATACACAGGGAAAATACTCGATGTTTTGGGCGTATGTGACGTGGATGTAAATGATAGGGACAATACGTTATCTCTTTCTCTAATCGTTGTTAACACAGATGGACCTAGTTGGGAGGAACTGGTGAAAATAGATGTCGGGAATATTACAATCTATCAAGAAGGTGGACAGTATTTCTGACTTACCTACACTCTTGGAAGCTTTTGCCAGTGTTTTCGATACAAGCGCACCTGAGAAATAACGTAATTACAAAGCTTGCTTGAATATCAAGCCAAAGACTCATCAGAACTTTTATAAGGCACGAAGTCTACCTTTCGTAGTCCGTCCGAAGGTAGAGTTAGAGCGCTTACAAAAGGACGGAATACTTTCACCTGTACGTCACTCTTCCTGGGCTGCACTCGTAGTTCTTGTACAGAAGCCTGATGGCTCAGTTCGCATTTGCGGAGACTATACACTGATGGTTAAGCAAGCGACGACGACGAAACAATATCCGATTCCACGGATAGATGACCTTTACGTAACTTTGTCGGTTGGACAAAAGTTCTCGAAGTTGATGGAAGCCATGCTTATTCTCAAGGAGAGCTGCAGGAATCCTCAACCGAAATTACCACCATCAATACACACATGGGATTCTTCTGCTATAACCAATTACCATTCGGGATACACTCCGTGCCTGCGATCTTCCAGAGAATTATAGACAACAGTGAAAGGCGTACACAGAGTTTGCGCTTACTTGGACGACATCTTTGTTACTAGCCGTGCCGACTACGAGCGCATGGTCAATGGCATATTGCGGATAAAAAATACCGAAGGTTGACATGTCCCGCCGGATGAGCGGTTAGGGATGAGCCAAATAATGGCGAAAATGGCAATAAAAGATATTGAACTGCGAATTGAGAACTTGCCGAGTACAGCGTTCCCGTCCATCGCAGAGGTTGAACCTTACCGTGGTGCGATGATTTGTGTGCCTCAGAGATCCAATCAGCTATGCTGGGTGGTGCTTTTGGCACCTTCAGAGTCAATCATACCAGATTGGTCAATGGTTAGAGGCCAGACAAACCCAGCCTCCTGGTCCTCCAGATTGGGGGTTGGAATGAGGGTGGCACCTTATTCCTTAAAACGGACTCCTTGTAGCCCAACGCCAAACCCGCTGCCTTGCGATCAGGTTTTTGAACCAGATGCTCTGGTTAAGAACCTAAATCGTTCTCCGGGCTAGGCCTGGGCAATCCGACAGTATCCCGCCCACGCAATACTATGAATTCCTCTTCAAACCATTTCTTGATGCTCTGGCCACCGCAGAGGATAATCAACGGTGCCCTATCTGCTGCATCGAGCAGGGTGGATAGGGGTTTGGATGCTACTGCTCAAGCCTTCCCGTCTTCTTATTCCCCATCTTACGCTTTTTCACTCTTACCGTCCCCTTCCAACTTCACTTATATCCCCTCAGTTTTCAACCCTCCGATTATTGGCCCTCCCCCAACATGCTTTGCCAGGCATTTATCTTTTAGTTTCAACTCACATGCTAACGCGGAGCGTCACTCCTCTCCTGTCGACAAAACGATGTTCAACCAAGCGGTCGATTCCAGTTCATCGGCTTCCATTTGAAGCCCTCGATCCTCCTTCAGAGTGGCATGCCTCAATGTACTCGCATTACTACAGATCGGTCAACAGGCAGCACTTGCCCGAACATTGGAGACCATCTCGATCGATATCTGCTGCTTATCAAAGACCCGCCTGCAAGGCTCGAGCTCTGTGCTCACTCTGCGATCCCATTCAGGTGACGCAAGCAGTATTTTCTCATTGCGCCTATCCAGTGACGATGCAGCCTCGAGCACCGGTCAAGCTGGTGCTGGCATTGCTCTGAGTTCCCGGGCTGAAGCTGCTCTGGTTGATTGGATCCCAATCAGTAGTCGGATGTGTGCGGTCCGAAGTCGCGCCGGACTAATAGGTGTCTATTCGTCATCGCTGCCTGCACGCCAACAAACTGTAGCGATGATTCGGTAAAGAACGACTTCTACCGCCAACTGACCCAGGTCTTTCACCACAGAAGAAGCACGGACACTGTAGTGCTGGCGGCGGATCTGAACGCATAAGTTGGAAAGTTGTCCACTGATGAAATGCATCTGGGCGGCCAACATGGTGTAGACTTGTGTAATGATAACGGTGAGCGGTTACTGCATTTGTGTGAAGATGCCCGCTTATTTCTTGCGTGCACTAACTTCCGACACAGCACCCGCCGAAGGGTGACTTGGCGCCCACCAGCCTCGAACCAGCCTTGGACGCAGATCGATCACATCGCTATCAGTTACCGATGGAGGGGCTGCGTCCAGAAGTGTCGCTCGATTTGGAGCACACGTGTGGACACTGACCATGCACTTGTATGTGCTGACATGCAGATGCGTTTTGGCGGACGCCCACGACGACGCTGTGAGCGCACTGACAACAGCCAATTGACAAAGTCAGCTGTTCTGCATGCCTATCAAAATAGGTTGACATGCGAGCTGAGTAAGCACTCACTGGAGACAACTGAAGGTCACTGGTCGCATGTTCACCAGACCTTACTAGCAGAAGGCAAATCCTCATGTGGTATGCCTAATCGCCAACATGGACATTGGGTCTCTTCACAGTCTCTGGAACGTATAGATGCTCGCCGGCATATTCCGGCTGGAAGCGAACACAATGAAACTCGCAAAGAGCTCCGGGCAAAACTATGTGCTAGCCTGAAGAGAGACTGCGAATTCTGGTGGTTTCATCGTGCGTCAGTGATGGAAGTGGCCGCTGCCCTTGACAATCATCGTAAGTCATTCCGTCTGATACGGGAAACGGGAAGAGACCTGGTGTTGGTGAAACTGTACGTGACGAGAGTGGACGGCGTATCCACAATTTGTCAAAATGTTTGGAGCATTGGGCTGAGCATTTTGAAAAGCAATTTAATCGGCTAGAATTGTTCGATTCTTCGCCGGCCAGTGATCGCCCTGCTCCGTGGGCTGTCCCTTTGGATCCACTCTCTCGCTCAGAAGTTGAACGTGAGATCGGACTGTTGAAGTTGAACAAAGCCACTGAACCACATGATCTTCCTCCAGCCCTCTTCAAATTCGGAAGCACTACTCTTGTTCATGCTTTACATGAATTACTGGTGAAACTGTGGGAGCAGGATACTGTCCCAACCGACTGGGTCCGCTCCGTTATTGTTCCCATCTTCAAAGGCGGCTCACGTTCGGAATGCGGCAACCATAGAGGCATGAATCTGATCTTCATCGCCTCCATAATCCTTTACAGACTGACTGGCGCTCGTGAAAGCCAGATTCGTGAGGAGCAAGCCGGGTTTCGTCGGGTCGTGGCTGCATCGACCACATTTTCACCTTGCGTCAGTTACTGGAGCACCGTCACACATATTGGCGGCCCACCGTAGTCGAGATTCTCAATATCAAAGGTGCCTTCGATTCGGTGGATCGATGTGCCCTTCGGAATTGTCTACTCAGGAAAAGTGTGCCCGAGAAATATGTAAATATTATCCAAGCATTATACGCGCGTAGCTTGGGCAGAGTGAGGGCTTACGGCAAGCTGTCGCCGGCCTTCAATATCTCCAGTAGTGTAAGAAGACAAGAATGCCCGCCGTCACCTTTCTTCTTCAACTTCGCTACTGACTAAGTCATGGAGATTGCATTTACAGGACATGACTTGGAAGGTGTGGAGCTACTCTCAGGAGAACGACTCCTTGACTTGGAGTATGCAGACGACATTGCCCTCATCTGTGACAGCTCCCAGACGTGCCAAGCCGCGCTGGACAGATTAGCACTGGCTGTCAGCCGCTTCGGGCTTTGCTTTATACCATCGAAATGCAAAGCTTTCCTCCAAGATTGGCAGGAATCGCCTCCTGCGCTGACCCTCGCTCGGGATCAGCTAGAAGTCGTTCGGAAATTCGAGTAACTGGGAAGTTGTATCAGCGCCCTTGGGATGGAAGACGAGATCACGAATCGTATAGCGAAAGCTCGAAATGCTTTTGCTAACCTTAGCCAACTATGGCGGCGGCGCAACATTACTCTCGCTCTGAAGGGTAGAGTGTACAAAGCAGCGGTACGTTCGACCCTAACGTACGGTTGCGAAACCTGGCCCCCTAAGATCGGCGGACATGAAGAGGATAGTTACGTTCGACCATCGGTGCCTTCGCAGTTTGGCTCACATCTGGTGGGAACACCGCGTGAGCAACGAGCGTGTTCGACGCCTTGTTTAAAGCACCGCTTAGCACCGTCATTTCACGCACCGCGCTCCGATGGTTGGGCCACGTGTTGCGCATGCCAGCCCACCGACTTCCACGACGTGCGTTGTTTGCTCACCGGGGATGTGGATGGAAGAAGAGGAGGGGTGGCCAAGCGATGACTTGGTCCAGAGGAATGAAGGCCCTCACTTCGGAGCTGGCCTCAGTTGGAGCGTCACGGCTCCCTGGTTGGGGTCCAAAAGACGGTGAACACATTTGGCTGGACACACTTGCTGACATGGCAAGGAGCCGACCTCAGTGGCGTTCCTGCTGTGAGTTTTTTTGTCCCTCCCCATCCATTTTAGCCTCCCCTCCACCTACGATCTCATTTCGTAGCGTAAAACATAATAATTTTTCTTTTTGTTTGGTAGTAGTTTTGCTGGTAGTTTACCGAAACAATGCCTATCGGTTGCTGGTAGCTCAGCTGGCATTCAACTGTTGTATTTATTTTCCTTTTCCTTTGTTTATTGCGGCACAGTAGCTGAGGTGTTTCCCACCTTTAGCTGACGTGTATAATGATGATGATGATTATGATGATGTACTTTCCAAGGTAATCGTCTGTGATTTCCGGGCAAAAATGGACGT